GGGGGGTGCGCTTTGGAGGTCCCATTGCACCAGCAGGGTCCATCCCCCAGCCGTAGGTGTGATGCTGACGTTGGGGGAATGTAAGGACCAGGCCTCTCCCCAGCTGGGTGGTTGCAGGGATGGCGGCGGGGGAGGTTTGGCTCATGCATCCCTGGAGCGTGGAGCTCTGCCCAGCCTGCGTGGCTAATGCAGCCAGCCCGATGCCTGCTCCCGCAGATGTGCTCCCTTTCCACGTGGGCACGGGTCGTGTGCTCGCATCCGTTCCCGTGCCGACTTGGCGTGTGTGTCTGTGCACGAGGACAGGCTTGCAGGCCGGGGGCAGTGCAGGGGCCTGAGTGCTAGCGGGTGCCTGTCGGTGAGTGCGGGGGAGTGTGCACGCGTGGGAGTGTGCCTGCGTGTGAGTGGCGTGTGCCTCTGGGTGGGTGGCCCCCGTCCACCCCACCTTCCCCGAGCGGCGCCGCCTGCTGGCTCACTTGAGTCCTTTGTTCCCCGGCCTAGAATCGTAACTCTGGGAACGAGACTTAAATAATTCATGATCGGCAGGAGTATGAGCTCATCCTGCCCCAGGCGAGGAATTTGCTCCCTGGATTCGCCGCTTGAGGGGGGGGACCCCTGGCGGGCCCAACTCCTTTGAACCCTGGCACATCCTGGCCCCGTGCTGGTCTTAGGCACAAGCAGCGTGTGCGCCGTGCGCTAAGGGGACCCAGCACAGACCTCCTCCAGCAGTGAGTCTGGAAGGCAGGCAGCACTAGATCTGCCCTTGGGGCAGGAGAACCCTAGCGTCCTTTCCCCGGATTCTATTGGGCGTCAAGTGTGATCCCAGCCTGGGGGCTCGGAGTCCGGACTCCTGGCTTCTCTTCCGGATTACGGGCGGGGGTGCTGCCTCGTGATTTCTGCTGCGGTGGGGACTGAGAATGTACAGTAGATGAGCCCGGGGGAGACCCTGTCCTGCTCTGTGCCTCAGTTTCCCCTGCCCTTCAGGGCCGCTCGCCCGGAAGGGGCTACGTCCAGTCAGTGCAAAGCAGCGCCCTCCCGACACCTGGCAGAGTCGTTACCCAGCCGTGGCGTTTGCCTGCGAAGGAAGAGCCCTTGGGCCTGACTTTCTTCTCGCCCTGGTTTGCCGCAGGCAGGCAGGCGTCGATTTCTCCGTTTCCGAGCTGCCGCGAGCAGGCTCTTGTTAACCGTAAATGTCGGGAAGATGCTCGAGACAACAGATGTACTTTGGCGCCGGGCAAAGCTGAGACGTGAGTTGGGAACAGGCTGCCTTTGGAGACGAGGCAGGTGGAAAGAGAGAGAACCAGGGTGGGGACTGTTTCCTTCCTCGACAGGCGTTCTTTCAGCGAAACCTGTTCTCCGGCAGGGCGGCGGGGCTGGGCCGTGGCTCTGGGCGGGTAAATAAATAAACGGCAGGGCTGGGAAATGCTGAGAGCGCTCCCGGGGGCTGACGCCTCTTTGCCGCGCTGATCTCCGTGTGGCTGGGAGCACGGTGGCCCAAGGCCCAAGAAACACGCTGCAGGGGGGGTTCCCACCTGCTGGAGCCGTTGCTGTTTGAGGCTTCTTCGTGAATTCCAGCCCGTTGGGTGGGCTGTAGCTCATTATAAAGCGGTGCTGCGGCAGCCGCTGGTAGGTCTTGGAGGCTCCTGGCTTTGTCAGGCGGGGGAGGGAGGCTCTGGGGAGGGTCTGCCCCAGGGCAGAGGTTCGGGGCTCCCCTGGAGCTGAGTCAGTGCTGCAGCAGGGGACTACCAGGGGCAGCTCTCCCCTCGCAAGCTGCACCGAGCTGGTACCAGCCGGGGTGCTGCTGCACTCGGTGGCAGTGGGCGAGGGTCAGTTCCATTGCAGGGCGGTGCTGATTGGGTGCAGGCGTTTCCTTCACGTCCTGTCCTAAATTCCTGGGCTGTGACTGTTTAGAAGGCTCCGTGGATCTTGCAGGCTAAGTAAAGTGATGAGGACAGTGCAGCGAGTTGAATGGGAGGTGTGTGCGTGCCGTCATCCATGTGTCATAGACCCTCTATGACTAACTGGGAGTGGCGATTCTCCTGGGATCTTGGGCTTTTGGAGCACCAAGATCGGC